ATAATATATTATACTATATTATAATAAATGTATTTATATAAATGTTATTTTTTTATTTATTTTTTAAATTTGTCTATAGATTCTAAAAAACGGAAAATACAAAAATACATAGAAAATAAAGAAAACTATTATATAAATATATATTTATGAGTTGATTCATTAATATAAATATAATTTTGTAAAATAATTACTTTTTTTTTTTACAAAATTTGTCTATGGTTTCTAGAATAAAAAAAATCCGACAAGAGAGAAATAAGAGCAAGGAAGAGCAAGAAAGTAATGATTCATGGCCTCTGTGAGCTTCACTGTGTTTGGAACATTTGTCTTTCAGTTCTGTTTGACACTGCTATGAAATCTTTGCAGTGTACAAGGATCTTGTGAATCAGGTCTCACGATTTTAGTTCCATACTGAAAATCAATGGGCAATGTTGTTGAAACGCTGCCCAATCCATTAGTTTTGATTCAAGAACTCTCAAGATCAACATTTTTTTCCACCCATTTTTGAGCATTTGCTTTTTGCAGCGACTGTTCTTTGGTTTACGTGGGAACAATATGAGAAGTGCAGCTTAGAGCAAACATTTATTAAGTCTCCTGAGCTTTTGAGCTACATAATTTTCCCTTGGGTTGTCATATGTATATAGCAAACACTTATTTTTTCTTTCCTTCTCTGTCTTTTTGTCTAAGACCCTGATGCCCCCCCTGGTGCCATATCAGTGTTTCCTTCTCCCACTGGGTTAAAGATTGTGTGGGACGAACCATCGGTCATCTCAGGGCCCACCTCATACATCATTGACATCGCTGCTGTGAGTTCATAAATTTGAGAAATCTGGTTCATCTGTTGACTTTCTGAAATTTTCCTCTTCAATTTCTCTCTGTCCTCTTTCAGTTGGATGGTTTGGGATATAACATAAGCCTAATGCGGCATTCAGAGGAGATCAGGACGGTGGTTGTTGGGAACCTGACTGCATTTACCCTGTACTCTATTACCATCACTGCCTTCACGGGGCAGCTTTCCAACGCTCGCACAGACGGCAAAGCATCTGAACCCATCCTCGTCAGAACCCTGGAGGACGGTGAGGATGTTTGTGCATGCTTGATTATCAGATATCCATTGAATGCATGCATGCATGACTTATCTGTGACATTCATGGTCATGTTTTCCCAGAGCCCAAAGATCCTCCCAAAAACGTGACATTGACAGTGATCCCAGAGGAAGTGACACGTGTTTATGTAACGTTCTCTCCACCGGATGAGCCGAACGGAAACATCAGTGCCTACCACGTCGCCATCTATCGAAACGGACAACTGGATTTCTACATAAACAGCCTGCCTGTGATCAGCAACCCTAATAACACCATGACGGCCATTATAGATGGACTGAAGGGTGGATTCAATTACAGCATAAGGGTAGGAAACTAGCCTTGATTTGATTGTTTGGTCTAAAGTGCATCTCCAGCCTCTTCCCCTACATGCACAGGTCTCTTTCTCGTTCATATACTCACAGGAAAACAAAGGTACAAAGCTGTCACTGGGGCAGTACCCTGAGGTACAAAAGCTAAAAGGTACATCTTTGTACCCAATTTACCACTAAATAGTACATATTAGTACTTTAAAGGTACATATTAGGACTTCAAAAGTACATATTTTTGAAATATGAAGATACCTTTTGAAAGACAGCTTTTTTACCATTTTTTCTGAGATTGTACTGAACTGTGGTACGTTTGCATCATCTGATACCACTGTGAGCACTAGCAGCAGCTATTTAAAACCGTATCTAGGTAACAACAGAGAAGGCAGCTCCAAAAATGGAAAGCAATATTTGCATCAGTCTTTTAAATCATGTTTTCATTCCTTTGGTTTTAAATACTAAAACTTCACCTGCACAGAATGGTACTTGAAGTTGTTTATTGACTTCCACAGTTGGGCCAAATGCATTTCTTTTGTACTTGTTGCAGATTGCAGCTGTGAATGGAGCAGGTTTAGGACCAAGTTCAGAGGTTCAGGTCACCACAGGTGTGAAAGGTATGAGAAAACCAGTCAGCTGTACTATTTTCCTGAAGTGACTGCCATTTAAGATTCTGACGGGTTTATTTAGCACCACCCAAACCGTCGAGGAGGCCGCGGGCTGCTCTGAACAACGCAGGTATCATCATCTCTACCTCCAAGACCATCACCATTGAGATGCCTGAATGTTTCTTTACAGATGACCATGGACCAATCCAAAAAGTCCAGGTCATTGTTTCTGAACCAGCAGGTATTATAAAATGACATTTAACACTAGCAATAAAGGCAATTAACACTTTAAGTAGGGCTGCACGATTATGACAAAAATCATAATTGTCGATTATTCCCTTGAAATTGTAATTGCGATTAATCATTACGATTATCACAATTTACATTGAATTATGTTTATACCATTGTTTTATGCAACTGCATGGCGTATTTTTATATGAAAATAAACAAGCTGAAAACACTCTAACTGAAAAACTTTGTGCTTTTCTATAGTATTAAGCCTCAAATGTCAACTAAACATCGGGTTGGTTTCTTCTGTAAATTATAAAAAAGTAAAAATATGAATGGTATTATAATGTTATACTAAAACTAAAACTAAAACAATGGAAAAACCCTTAAGATAACATGTAGAAAGAAAAAAACGCATCTTAAGTGTGCAGAATAACGTGAGTGGACTTTTCAACATTGATAAGAATAAGACATTATTCTTGAGCATAAATCATTTTTAATGTCTGCTGAAAATTTTGCTTTGTGTCACATGAATAAACTACATTTTTAAATATATTCAAATAGAAATTACAGTTTTACTGATTTTTTGATCAAATAAATGCAGCCTTGGTGACCGAATGAGACTTCTTTCAAAACATTAGGAAGGTTTATTGTTATATTGTTTTTCTGATGTTGATGCAGTGATGGACTACGGAAATCTGTCCAGCTGGAAGAGTGTTTTCCTCTACCCTACTGCACCATACCTGACTGACGAGGGCTTCTTGAACCCAAAGTGCTCGGAGAAAGCAGAGCGCATGAGCACAAACACTAACACATACGTTATAGGAGCAGATGAGAGCTGCCTGTCTGAAGATGCCAGGACACTTTGTAACGGACCCCTTAAACCCAAAACATATTATGTGTGAGTGACATATGCACACACAACTAATCTGTGTTGTAAATATTAATATTTCAATCCAGGAGTCTTTTAACCTGTTCATTTTTGTGTTGTAGGTTCAAATTTCGGGCAACAAACATCCGTGGGCAGTACACAGACTCTGAGTACTCAGATAGGGTCAGAACCGCAGGTATGGACGCAAGTAGCACACAAGGGCTGTTACAGTATTAATGCACTGAGACCAGCTGTGATGTCTCGCTCACATTTTCCCTCTTTCCCTCTCAGATTTTCATACTTTTTTTCCTTATTTCTATTTCTAAATTATTTATCAAATCAAAAATATAATTTCATTTTTGTTTTAGTATGAGATTTTATATTATATATTTCCCCCCAAAAAACTATATGGCTTGTTAGCATTTCTACTTTTTCATGTACACTATTGCTCAAAACTTTGGGGTCAGATTTTAATTAATACTTTCATTTAGCTAGGACATATTAAATTGATCAAGGGTGACAGTAAATACATTTACAAACTTTGCAAGTAAATTGTTTTTTTAGAACTTTATAACTCCATATTCATCATGATTTGCAAAAACAAATGAAGCAGCACACCTGTTTTAATAAGAAATATTTCTTGAGCATCAAAAAAATCATATTAGAGTGATTTCTGAAGGATCATGGGATGCTGGGATCAGTATTGATGCTGAAAATTCAGCTTTGTATCACAAGAATAAATTACATTTTAAAATATATTCAAATGGAAAACATTTCACAATTTTACTGTTTTTACCGATCAAAAAATGCTGCCTTGGTGACACTTATTTTAAAAGCATTCAAAAATGTACTGTACTTATACTCTTATACATGTACCTTCTATAACGCTGGGCTTGTAGAACAACATATTTCATTGTGAACAAGTACTGCTTCTGCTTGGTATAAATATTGACTGTGATTTCAGATGACCGCCTGCTGACCAGAGACGAGCAGATCATTCTTGGGGTCCTGCTGTCATTTTTCTTGGCATTGTTTTTAATTCTGATTATATACGGATCTGTGAGGTAAGTTTAGTGTTGCTGTATATAGGAGTTCAGCAACATACTCAAATAGTATTTGCACCCAAAAAAAGCCTCTGGTTTTCCTGGTTTAACAATCTAGACTCACTTTCTCCAATCCCAGGATCCACCGCAGGCAGAAGGAAGGCGGGACGTACTCTCCACGCGAGGCAGAGATCATCGAGACCAAGTTCAAGCTGGATCAGCTCATTGCAGTGGCCGACCTGGAGCTCAAAGAGGAGAAGATTAACCGGTGAGACACTGTACACACACTGTATATGAGCAGTGGACTTTAGTTATCTGTGTTTGTATTAGTGCTGTCAAATGATTAATCGCGATTAATCGCATCCAAAATAAAAGTTTTTGTTTCCATAATACATGTATGTATACTGTGTATATTTATTATGTATATATAAATACACACACATACAGTATATATTTTTAAAATATTTACATGTATATACATTTATATTCTTGTATTCTATATTATATATAAATATATTTAATATAGAAACATAACATATTTTTCTTAAATATATACATGCATGTGTTTGTATTCATATATACAGTACATAATAAATATACACAGTATACGCATGTATATTATGTAAACAACATTTTTTATTTTGAATGCGATTATTTGCGATTAATCGTTTGATAGCACTAGTTTATATGTGATTTTGTCTTCTACTCTCTCACTCACTAATTCACTCAATGACTCACTCACTCTCACAATGAATTCATTCTTTCATTCATTCACTCTCACTAATCCATTCAAACACTTGCACTATCCTCTGTTCTCAGGTATTCCTCCTTTTTCTTTAGAAGGAAGGAGATTTTTGTCATCCAGTAAGTAGACAGAGATGTTGGTGTTTAGATGATGCATGATCCCATATGATATGTAGCATCAGTGTTTTCGTTCGTTTTAAAGATTAAACGTTTTATTTTCCCAGTTGCATGTTGTACTGTTAGTACCTGGCGTTGAATGTGTTTTATTATGAATGAATATGCCACACTAAATTATCTGCCTTGCTATAATTTGGGACTGTTCGGTTTCATAATGCTGCTCTGTAGTTCTGCTCTGCTTTGTGTATTTGTGCCTGAAAGATCACATAGAATGACTCTCCGATTCTTTTATGTTTGTGTGTCTTCCTCTAATTAGATCGTGTGGTGAACTTCACATAGATTCATTTCTTATTTATCACTGAAAGTGAAAAAGTAACCTAATTTTTCAGTGCAAGGCCAATTTCATAATAATTCTCTACTGTCTAATGTTCCAGGCTGCTAAGTTACAGGAAATCTCTCAAGTAAGTGAAGGAGACTTGATGGACTGATTGATATTTTATTCCCTTTCTTATATTATTTTCTTGTTTTTCTCTGTTATTGTTCAATAAATATGTGAGTCCCCAAAACAGATGATTACCCATAACCACCTGCTCTTAAGAGGTGTTCTTTAGAAATAATGCTTGCTGTAGTGGTAACAGTGTTGAAGATGATGATTATTTATGGTTTTGTGGATATTTCATGCTCTGTTTATCTCTCTTTTAACACATTTCCAGGCCAATCAGTAAGAAATCATTTCTTCAGCATGTGGAAGATCTTTGTGCCAACGACAATGCCAAGTTTCAGGAGGAGTTTGCTGTAAGTTTTAGCATTAAAGTGTGTAGGTGGGTGAGAGAGAAAGTACTAGTGAACTGTAAAATGAGTTTCAGTGAGACCTCGTTCTGATTGGGGACATAGAGTTATGTGCTCAATGGCGTATGACTTTGCTGAATATTTTCCATGGTTGATTGATTTTCTTCCCGGTGTGTTTAATAATTGGACGTTTTCTGTTGTGTGTTTCAGGAGCTACCGAAGCTGCTTCAGGATCTGGCCACATCAGACGCTGACCTGCCGTGGAATCGCTCCAAAAATCGCTTCACAAACATTAAACCCTGTGGGAAAAAAAATTCATTCTGACATTGTTTACTAGCTCTCATGTAGTTTCAAACCTGTATGACTTTCTTTGTTCTGTGTAACAAAAAAGGAGAGGTTTAACAGAATGTTAACAGGCTGTCAAGCACCAAAAAGGACATAAAAGCACCTCAAAAGTGTCCCATATGACTTGTGTGCTAAACTACTATTCAAAAGTAAAATACAGTAAAAAAAAAAAAGGAAAATTGTGAAATTATATTTCAATTTAAAATACCGGTTTTCTTTTTGATATCATTTAAAATGTAATTTATTCCTGTGATGCAAAGCTGAATTTTCAGCACCATTACTCCAGTCATCAGTGTCACATGATCCTTCAGAAATCATTCTAATATGCCGATTTGCTGCTCAAGAAGCATTTTTTGTGCAATATGCTTATTATATGGAAAAAGGCAGCTCTGTTATTCAGAATGTTTTATTTTTGTTCCGAGAAAGTCATGAAGGTTCTGAATGACATGAGGGTAAGAACATCTTTCTTTAAAACTCACCAGGCTTTCTTTATATAAACATACTTTTAACTTTTTTAGATAACAATAACCGAGTGAAGTTACTGTCTGAGCCAGGAATGCCGGGGTCTGACTACATCAATGCCAGCTTCGTCTCCGTAAGCGCTTGAGATCAGCCCACATATCAGCTGTCTCTCTCTTTTATACTGCAGCTCAACTTTAATTGAATTGGTCTAAGCTCCTGTGCTGTGTCTTGTCTCTGTGTCTCAGGGCTATCTATGTCCTAATGAGTTTATAGCCACTCAGGGTCCTCTGCCTAGTACCGTCGCAGACTTCTGGAGGATGATTTGGGAGACTGGGACCAAAACCATTATCATGCTCACTCAGTGCTTTGAGAAGGGCCGGGTGTGTATGTGTGTGATCGAACAAAACACTGTAGCCAATTAGACATATGTTTGTACAGTCAATCCAAAGATTATTCAGACCAGATATAATTTTTAATATCTTTTTACTAGTGGGTGCAGGACACTTTTATGTAAGTGAGGATAGCAAAATAAAGTAAACTGTGACATATTATTCCCAAAAATTCTTCATACTGTGGACTACCAGTAAATATTGATAATAATTTCGGACCAAAAATTATTCAGACACTTTGACCTGACCATGTTTTGCTTAAGTGTTTTTTCTTTAATTGCTAATGCGACCTTTTTACACCACAGACTGGACAAAATTAAGCATTGCTTGGTAAATTGATATTATCTAATTATGTACTTTCAACCTAATTCATTACATACCTTTCTATCAAAGTTATCTGACATTATCAAGATGAATTTGTTCTGACACAGTTTAACTCTGAGTTCTTGTCATATTTTATTACCATTTTCTAAACTATAGTGAATAAACTGTGATCATGTGAGAAATGTTGAAGGTGTCTGAATAAATTTTGGTTCGACTGTATGTACTCTATATACTCATATATAATCTTAAAAATATGTTCTAAGGTTTTACAGTCTGATGTCGTAGGAGAATCATTGGAGTCCCGCAAAGAACAGCTTTTTTCTCTAGTTTTGATGCCATGGACTCATAAATACCATAATGTCTTTGTGAGCCACTTCATTCATAAAATATAAAAGCAGATATATTTATATTTTTCACTGCGTAAATGGATTTTATATGTTAATTAAAAGTATATATACTAATTTATAAAGAGAAAAAATATATACTTTTTTTGTATTTTCTAATATAATGTATAAAACCCATTTAGATAAATATAAATACATAAAGTATAAATATTCTAAATATGAATAAAATATTTACTTTCTATACATTTTCTACCCACCATTACAGTGTTGTTTCATGTATGAACTTTAGGAGAAATGTAAAACTTTTGGCTTTAAATATGATAATATTTTATAAATATAATATATTATAATAATAAATGTGATTTCCAGCCAGTCTTTAGAAAGTAAAATAAAAACAGTAATAATATGAAATTTGATACATCTGAATTAATTACGTTTTTTATTTATTTATTTTGGTTATATATTTATTTATTTTTCATTATTTATTTTCAACTTTTTACACTTTTTTACACTTAAGAGTATGTGTAATATGTACACTGATTGCTTCCATTGTCCTCATTTATTTGTAAGTCGCTTTGGATAAAAGCGTCTGCTAAATGATTAAATATAAATGTAATGTAAATACAATTAAAACACAATTAAATAAATGTTTGACAGTGATTTGCTGAAATATATGCATTATAATGATAAACTGTAAATGTAATGTGGCTGTATGTTTCAGATCCGCTGTCATCAGTACTGGCCAGAGGACAATAAACCCGTCACTGTTTTTGCTGACATCATAATCACTAAACTCACAGAGGATGTGCATCCTGATTGGACGGTCCGGGCACTAAGAGTGGAGAGGGTAAAACATTTTGAAGTTTATTGCTAGCTAGTTGCATTTACTTGTCCAGTTAAATGGCATCCAGTTTAATTTAAAGAAAACTCTGTCATTCCCAGAAGTATTGAGATTTTTTACTGCCACAGAAATGTATGTATCATGGGGCCGCATGCGGTATGCTTGCATGTGCTGATTGTGTATTCAGTTCTGCATATGCATACTTGAGTACTGTATGTCTATGGCCTTATACAAGTCCAAAAATGTACAATAACACACACAGATGTGGGTGGTTAGATGAATAGATGATTAGTCCCCAAGGACACATTTAGCCCTTCCTCTCTCTTTTTCTCTCCAGCACGGAAGCTACATGATTGTTCATCATTTTAACTACACCTCATGGCCAGAACACGGCGTTCCAGAGTCCAGCTCCACACTCATCCAGTTTGTCAAAGCGGTTCGCTCACATAGAGGCCATGACAACACAACCATCGTGGTCCACTGCAGGTGCGTATATCTGCCCATTAGATTAACAGGAAGTCTTGAGGCTTTTCTCTACAGTGAGCTACTGGTGCATGTTTATGTTAGAGTCTGAGTTGCATGGAAGTCCATTTTTGCCTCAGAGTAAAAGAAAAAGCTAATTGCAACTTCATATCACGCAATTGTGACTTTATTATTTCATGATTGTGATTGTGTATTTTACAATGTGACTTTATATCTCACAACTGATACTTTATATCTCTCAGATAGGCCTCTGGCTAATTGACTTTATATCTTGCAAATTAATTTATATCTCATAATTGCAACATTATTTCTTAGAATTCTCTCTCAATTTCTATACTTGTCTCACATATTTTCTTATTTAAACTCTCACAATTACTATTTTATTTTATTTTATTTTATTTATTTTATTTTACAAAACAAGCTTCAATTGGACTGGCCAGTATTATTTTAGTATCATTAAGATACTACTATAATTTATATAATATAAAGTATATTTAATAAATATTTTCATTTTAATTTTAAAGTTTTTGTAATTTTATTTTTATTTTTTATTATTAGTTGCTCTATATGTAGTTTTTATTCATTTTTTCAGTTTTAGAATCTAGTTATTTCAGTACATAGTAAGATTTATGATACAGTATGTGTTAGGATTTATTTCAAGTGACAAAATTTTGTTTCATGGTCTTAGTTTTACATATATGTCAATTTTATACACATGTATGTAATGTCTCTATGTGCAGTGCTGGTGTGGGCAGGACTGGAGTGTTTATAGCCCTGGATCATCTCATTCAGCATGTGAGGGATCATGATTTTGTGGATATATATGGCCTGGTCGCAGAGCTGCGCAGTGAGAGGATGTGCATGGTGCAAAACCTGGTAAACCTATTTAAAACCAACAGATTTCACTTTATATTGTGAAAATAGTTCCGTCTCTGTAGACTTGTGTAAGATGATCATGTTCTCTTGCTCAGATATTTATATCTGCCTCTCTCTCAGGCTCAGTACATGTTTCTGCATCAAAGCACTCTGGATCTGCTGTCTGCAAAAGGAAACAGTCAGTCCATATGGTTTGTAAATTACTCCGCTCTGGAGAAGATGGACTCGCTGGATGCAATGGAGGGTAAAATACATCCTACATTCAATGACTTGTGCAGTGCAGTGAAGGCAGGTGGTTAAAGATATCTGTCATTCTTCTGTTTTGTCTTGATGGAAACGTGTTTTGTCATGTTTGTTCTCTCAGGTGATGTAGAATTGGAATGGGAAGAGACTACTATGTAACAGGAACACTGTTTCCTGTCAGTCTGATGGTTGTGAGGAGACACTCATTAAAAATCCAGACTCTGGGACTGTGGAGCCTGGGGCCAAACACGCTAAGCAAAGGATAAACGAGGAATACAAGTACTTAGAAGCAAACTGGAATATTCTCGCCTAAATGGATTGTCTCTGTCTCTCAACCTCTCATTTGCATCCACCAGACAGCCTCATCCATCAACGTTTTTTTCTAAAGTTCTTGTCCAACTTCTGTAATTATTTTATCTCTCCCTAGAAAGTGGTACACCACCTACTTATGGACTCAGAATGGATCAGACTCTAAAAATATGTCTGTTTCTTAAGGAAGTAGGAATATTCAGCAGTCAGGAGTGAGAAACGACAGGGGTTTTATGTCCTGTAGTCAAATGTATTATTAATGCATTTATTAGGGATGAGAGTCATAAGTATTTTTTGCTAAATGGTTCTCTTAATGATTCTTTTGGTCATTTTTTATTTTATTTGGACAAATTATAAGATTATTTTAAACAGAACAGTAATTTATTTGCATGCACATAGAACATATCCTTACACTGAGAATGAAAATTATAACTTTTCATTAAAACTATAACAATACATCTACAACTCCACATCAACAAAGAATGACGTTGTGCTTATTCTAAGCACTGCAGTGAAGTTCTGTGAAAAAGTTGCATTGATTTGGCATATCTGTCAATGTTTTTATCGTTTATCTGGAAAAATCGCTCTGAAATAGATTCCAACGATACTTAAGTCCATGCTGTTATCGTTAAAGTTAAGTGGACTCCGCTATTCTTTTAAGACCCATTCACACCAAGAACGATATGAACTATATTAGCGTCCACACCAACGAACAATAACGTTCTGTTGTTATAAGCACGCGCTGCAGTAAATGTAGTCTAACGCTTTAAATGCTCGAGCTCTGTAAAGTCGGATGGATTCTGATGGGCCGTCAGTGTTTTAACGTTCATCCGCTGGAAATAATTGTTCTGAAAGTGGTTCTAAATATACCGTTTCTCAGTTCAAAACCTAATTATTAACTAAAGTTAAGTTATCGTGTGAACTAGACACGTCCAAACAGCTGGTCATATAACGTTATGTATTACTGTGAAGCTTTGGAGCGCGCGCTTTACAGTCGGTTGGGGTTTTGTTTATTTTTATGGTTTATCAACTGGAAAAACGCCCTGAACGTGATCCCAACGATATCTTTCCACGGCGTCATTATTACTGTTGTGGTCTGGTTTGAGGTCCTTTAAGATTAAGATTAGAACGACTTTTAAAACCACCTTATAGTTATCGTTCTTGGTGGGAACGGGAGAACTGCATTTCATATGGAAGTTAATGTCACGTGTATGTCTATGGCGAATGTTTTTCTAATCAGGAACTGTAAAGTTTGAAAGAGATTTTTTCACACGGCATCTATTCATAATCATCTATGAAGTTTCAGACAATGGTGCTTTGTCATTTATTCAGTCGGAATGCTTTTGTTTTTGCTACCCACCTTCCATTAACTTATCCTAAAGCTGATGCAGAGTGAGGTAACACATACTTTATATGTTCATTCATTTGTAAATGATAGCTTGACAAGTCATTGATTTGTCTTTTATTGCTTTTTTTCCATTTGTTCGTGTTAAAGAGGAACTGAGTGAGAGGAAATCTGTCATCTCAAAATTGTAAAGCTCTTTTAGAACGTAACTTTTGCATAAATTATTATGAAGCCAAATGAGTGTCAGGAGATGACATATGGTTTTGTTGTGTGTATATTTGGAAATCAACAGTATTTGTGTTTTGAAATAAATATATAAATATTGTTTTCTTCTGAAGATCATTGCAGATATTTTGACTGTCATGATTTTCACTGAATAGTATCTTCAATCATGATCTGTTCTTCACACAAAGCTATTGTATGACTTCAGAATGTAGAGCACAAGTATTTTAAGGTATGTTTATGATGCTTTATTAAAGGTTTTTGTTATTTTGGAACTTTACAGCCCCGGTCCTCCTTCGCTTTTTATATTTGAAAAGACTGATCTTGATATTGGTCAAAACTTCACCTTTTGTGATAAACATAATGAGAGTTTGGAATGAAATGAGGGTGAGTGAATGAACTTCAAATGTTTTTTTCTCTCTCTCTTTAAATGTTGACATTCATAGAAATCGTGTAGTCAGAAAAAATCTGAACTGTTAACACACTGTTAAGAACTGTTTGAAGGTTTTCAAAATATCTGATTGTTGAAATCATTACAGGAGCTCATATTCATTGGCATTCATGAGCACCCCAGAGTGCACGGACTGTCATTCTCTGTGTGATTGCTTTGAAGAGTGAGAGCATCCAGTGTGAAAGCAGCAATTCAGGACCCTGGAGAGCAGCACTGAAGCTTTCAGCCGAAACAAAGGGAGAATGCTGGAAGAACACAAGGTCCTGCTTGAGAGGAACATTCAGGTATAGGGGATGTTTGGGGGTTAAAAAAGCAATAAGCCATGAGAGACTGTGTCTTACTATGATTTAACCATGAATGAGAAGTGTTGTTAGGTATGAAGCAACTGCAGCAACAAAAAAATTATTCCACAAAGTATTTAATATAGAATTGAACTGATATGAGGTCAGAGATGTACATATATATACTGTTTTATATTTATTACATTTGGTTAAGAAAACCAAAAGGTCAAAAGTGTGGGGTCAGTAGTTTTTTTTTTCATTTATGCTTACCATAGGTGCATTTATTTGATAACTATTGAAAAAAAAACCTGTAGAATTGTGAAATATTGTTTGAGACAATATTTATTTGATCATGCCTTCAGACATTAAATATAATTCATTTGAGACTTTAGTAAATGTCTTTATCTGTTGCTTTATCTGTTTTGCTTTTAATTTGCATTAATTTTTCGTATTAATATAACTAATGTCAATTCTAATTGGGCTTTTGATAAATGGAGTTGTTAATGTTTGTTCATGTAAATAAATGCTAATGTTTATAATTAGTACTGATTTGTGAGTCAACACTTGAATGTCAAGTTTAATCAATATGCCAGTGATTGCAGTCTTTAATGCCATTGTGATATTTAAACCCACTGGTACTGAAACACAAACACACACGTTATATTCTATTTTCCGCACGTTTAATGATTGTTGAGATATGATTAAGTGACATTGCTTATACAGGATATGAATGTGAACGTATCAAGTGTCTTTACACTATATAAAACTTCCTAAGAGTGCTCAATACAAATATAGATTGTAAAAACCTATTAGATGGGACCATTGCTTTTACCATCACAAGGCCATATTTTGAGAAATAATACATGAAATTCAGCATTTTCTTTTCTGACAGATACTTTTAGCTTCTGTTTTTTAAGATGAATTTCTGGGAGTTTGAAACTGAAGTCAAGAAGTTCATGTTAGACTGAAATCATGGACTCAAGGATGGAGTTTATGGTGCATTTTCACAAAAATGCAGTGCAGTTTCACAACTTCACAGTCAGAATACGGCCCCTTGCTGGGATTAAATGTGTCGCTATGTTCTTGGAAACAAATATGTCGCTACGTACTAATTTAACCTAGCAAATGAACAGCTTCTGGCTTGACGTGGTACGTGGTAGAGGAGCGTTCGTGAATTGAACGGTCCCATCAACATGTCAGAGCAGGTGTGCACAAAGAAAAGACTGTATTTGATCAGCACATCTTAATGAATAAACAGCTGTGCAAACTATACAATAAAGCTTTTCATTCTCCTACTCTGTATGAATAAATAGATTTATAAATACATTTTTTTGCTGCTTTTCTGTCATTTCTGTGTCTAAGCACAGAATGACATCATTTCCAATAATGCCTTGAAAAAAACAGATATGTAGATACTTGTAATTAAAAACTAGTTTTGTGATTCAAAACTGAACAAAGAAAATAGAAACATAAATATTAGTTGTACATGTGAGATATACTCCTGATAAAAGCTCTTTATAGATATCTGCACATAAACATATGAATCTCTTATGACATGCAGTACAGAAAACATGAATTCTAAGTGGCAAACACAAACATAATCCACCAGATCTTTTTAAAACACAAATGCTTCCCCCCCCCAAAGATTTTAACATAATAGTTTAATAAACATTTTAAGTGATATCTTTTTTAAAAATATACAATTTATCAGTCATAGCCTTATAGTATACAACCTTTGATATTTTCTCAGAGGTTTGATGTGCACCTGGTTTTCACATGAAGCTACCTGAGCACCAGGCTTGATCACAGTAACACACTACAGAGTCGCTCTATAGGACTGGACACGATAAAAAGATTGATTCAGGATGATAAGCTGGGTTAAAGCCGACCCCTGGCTCTAGTTGGTAAACTATCTCACCACCCTCTTTCAAAATTCTCTATTTGTTGCTGTAAAAAGTTGTTTTAAAGAAAAAGCTTTAACAAAGAAAGAAAAAAATGTGCAAACACTTTAATGACATTAAAACTTTAAAGGAATAGTTCACCCAAAAATTTAAATCTGCTGAAAATGTACTCACCCTCAGGCCACCCAAGATGTAGATGAGTTTGTTTCTTCATCAGAACAGATTTGGAGAAGGCTTTAGATTTGGATTAAGGCTTTTTAACTTTAAACTTCTGGCCAAAATACAAGTAAAAAATCTAATCCACCTACACATTTGTTTAGAATTCTTTTGGACTGTTTTCACTTGTAAACAGTGCTTGATCTGTGTATATTTCTCTCCTGATTCAGACAGGAACTTTTTCTTTGGAGAAATCAATATTGTAGAGGAAAAAGCCTTAATGATGGGTTTGTTTCCTACAAACATGCAGCTTTTTACTTCACAAGATGTTACCTGATGGACTGGATTGGTGTGGATTACTTGTGGATTATTGTGTTGTTTTTATCAGCTGTTTGGACTCTCATTCTGACGGCACCCATTCACAGCAGAGGATCCACTGGTGAGCAAGTGATGGAATGCTACATTTCTCCAAATCTGTTCTGATGAAGAAACAAACTTATCTTGGATGTCATCAGGGTGAGTATATTTTAAGCAAATTGTCATTTTTGGGTGAACTATTTAATTTATTTAATTTTTACTCATTAACAAATATTAACAGATCAATACTTGATATACATTCAGTGTGAATGTATGTGAAAATATATCAAATCAAATGAAAAATTTCTGACTATCACGAGTATACACGAACTAACACGTTCAAGCAGGATGCTAGAAAATGTTTATCAATGCTGTAAATAAAAGTTATTAGATAAACATTTTGTTACATAAAAACATCAGTTAGGTTTAACCAATCAGAATTTGTGGAAAATAGTGAAATTTAAATAAGTGTAGAAATACAGGAAACCTCCTATTTCTAGCAAGTACTATATGGAAATGGGTTACAACACAGATTAGCAATTCACATTGGGCCAAAATGTGCTTTTTAAAGGACATTAGGATACTTTTATGAGAAGGCACAAGTCAGGAGCCGGGTATCCAAACGTTTTAAAGGGTTTATGGAGCTCAGTCAACACCCTCATTAGGTACAAGGTGCACGGCTCTCAAGATCAAGCGCTTCCTCCACACAGGATGGCAGCATCCTACATTTCTCCGCAGCTGACACTTGGGCTCTTGACAGGATAAGAAAGTAAGTAGATGATGCCAAATACGAACAAAATCTGCAGCTTTTATCTTGGAAGTTAGAAATTCTTTAGTGGCCACGTCCTGACCTAAATTTCTTCCAAAACCATTGGTTGAGGACATTCACAACAGAGCTGGAATAATTCCCTAAAGGATGATTTGATTTGCAGCAATAAAGTCATGCATTTTCAGTAGGAGTTGGCAATTTGAATAAAGAGCAAAGTTGAGGTTAAATTTATGCAAATGTGCAGCAGATGTCACATGATCCGCCTCCTGATACAGTTGGTTACTTTTGTTTAGTTCAGGATGCGTACTGCAGAGACTTGTGGGTGCAAATTGTTATTTGCTGCATCTAAACCAACTCAAGGGGGTGTTCTCTTTTCTAGCCTAGCTATTTTACTTTTTGCATTTGTTTTCAGAAATGCTGCAAGGTACAATTTATATCCAGATACTGGAATTTGATTTCGTTTTCAGGCTTTAACAGGTAAGACCTTTGAAAGAGGGTGGTGATTTTCTATTTCCATAAAAAAAACAATGTGAACATTTCTATAATTTCAAACATTATTTTATGGTGGTGTGTAGAAACAAATTCATCCCTCTACACTACATCCATCTATTGTAGTTCGGGTCGGAGCAACACACAACATTGGTATTTAAGGAGAAATCAAAATATATAAACATTTAATTTGAATACGGGGACATGAGCACACAAGAAAAGATCTGAGAAAAAAAATCCCTCTTAAAAAAATACTATACATCTGCTCACTTTAAATACACACTTTAAGGCCATGAGGACCTAACAATTCTAAGTGTAGCTTCTTTTGAGCGACGTGAGCCTAACAGTTCAGATCGGGCTGCTTGTGCTATTTTGTGTCTTCAGAAAGAGTGTTAAAGCAATGGTTCACATAAATATGAAAATTCTGTCATGGTTTATTCAGCTGACAATTGTTGCTTTACAATACGTGTTGCTTTACATCCGTATTCTGTTATTTTTTCCACAGAACAAAAAAGAGAATGTTTGAAGAATGTGTATACAGCTCTTTTCCATGCAGTGACAGTTAAACCTATGAAAAAAAAAATTGTTAAATGAAATAAGGTTTAAATGTAAATATGACAAACTTTAAAAAATGTGAACGAAAATATGAAATGTTGAAATATAGAAATGTCGCCTTGTCAACTAACTGAAATAAAGTCAAAGTGCTAATATTACTAAAACTAAAACTGAAATAAAACTAAATAGAATATTTAAAAAACAATAAAAATTACAAAAGCACATAACAAAATTCCTAAAACTTAAACTAAGATTAAAATGAAAAAATAAAATAAAAAAGCAAATGTAAAATATGAGTAAACATTATAATAGTATATAAATAAAACAAAATAACACTGGCCAAATCACACTTCATAAACTGCAAAATATCCTAATCTTAACAAATATTTTTGTCTATTTTTTATTTACGTTCCAGTTAAAATATCTAATAATGAAATCAAATAAAATTTACTTGAAGCAACACTAAATAAAATATTAATTTGAGACTTTGTATTCATAGACAAGTAAATTTAGTCTTACTGCACTGGGCAGTTTTTCTTTTTTTTCATTTCTTTAAAAAAAATGAATGCATCTTAATGTTTCCGTGAAAGTCATTTAGTATTCCAGTGAACATACATTTTATGGACATAAATTACATATGGCTTCAGAGGACTTCAGAGCCCACAAATTGTACAGACTGTATTTAATTGTGCTTTTTATGGTGTGTTTTTTTAACTATAAATTGTCTTTGTATTGAAAAAAGCTGTGTAAAGATTATTCAAAATGTTTTGTGTTCTGAAAAAATAGCATTTGTGACCCTGGACCACAAAACCAGTCATAAATAGCACGGGTATATTTGTAGCAATAGATCTCGGCCAAATATTGTCCTGTCCTAACAAACCATACATCAATGCAAAGCTCATTTATTCAGGTGACAAGATATAAATCTCAATTTAAAAAAATTGACCCTTATGACTGGTTTTGTGATCCAGGGTCTCATATGGGTTTGGAACAACATGAGATTGATTAAATAAAGACAGAATGTTCTTTTTAGGTGAACCGTCCCTTTAACAGTTGTTAACCAATCTGTGTGTTGTTCAGACTAGGCTGCGTGTCCCGCTGGAGTACCTGCGTTGGCTCAGCAGGTGGCGTGGAGGCGGAGGGGTCGGGGGGCAAAACTGGGGTGGGGCCAGAGTAGAGCTGAGTTGGTACGTTTGGAGCCTGTTGTGAATTGACACCTAGTTTAGAAACAGCCAGAAGCAGGAAGCGTTATCAGCCTGGCCTGCTGCACTCTCACGGCCCTCTGGTGCAGAAACACACGACAAGGCCATGCCACAGAGCATGCAGGCGGCAAAACACAGCACGAATAATACATACATACAGCGCGGTCGGAGTGGGTGAAACAGGCGACACTGACGTCCTACTGCTGTGATTTGGATAATTAACTGCTATCATATGCACGTCCTTTTATTACTGCGCTGCTAAGTAAATGTAAAATATTAATAAATACTGGAATATTATATAAATAACAGCGTCCTGCATCATATTTGCTGAATGAAATCCAATACTTGTTTCTTACTAATTCTGAGGTGCTGATTCCAAAAATAGTGGCTGTTTTGCTCTAGCATGTCACGCTTTCTCACAAAATATGTGCATTTCGTTGCATTTTTGCTTTTGACAGCCATTTGTACGATGAAGAAGTCTTGAATTATCACTTAATCGGTAGAAAAACTGCCACAAAGACATGATTCCTGTGTTCCTCTGAGCCAGGTTACAACTGTTTGTTCAATTGTCAGCCGATTTTCATGTATGAATGATTCTGAAGACATTATTTTACACCTAATCCTGATTTTAAGGTTAGAATTAATGGCCAGTCAAAAACGAAAAATGCAAACATGACCCAGATGTTTTCTGCTACATTTGTGGGTGTTTTATGACATCCAAACAGAAAATTACAGATTTTGTGAAAAACATTTATAATTAAGTTCTTTGACATTAAATGGAGTATTTGAACACATTTTCCCACTCATTTGAAGACTGTAATCTAAATTTTATATACATATACAAAAATTGAAAAAATCTTTATTCTTATTTTTAAAAAATAAAAACTGTACATGATGGAAAGTTATATTAGTATAAGGCCTTTTTTGCAAATCAAATTTTATATTCAAAATATCCTAAGTATTTTCTATCTATTTTTGAATTCATCTAATGATATTTTTATAATATTATTTTTGAAAAAATCTAATAATAATAATATTAGTAATAATATTATATTATTTTACAACATTTTATTATTATAAATGATAAAACTCTGTGTATTTTGTCCTACTGCAATAGCAGATTTTTTTCTCTCCAAAAATTTATTTTCTTCTTTAAATTTTATTTACTTTAGTTTGTGATAAAACAAGTGCAAAAAGTCTGCCAGAGCATGCAGGAAAACACAGCATGACTACGTACATATAGCGCGTTCGGAGTGGGTGAAAGCGGGCGACGCTGACTTCCTTCTTTAACTGCCGTGATTTGGATAATTAACTGCTATCTTATGCATTTCCTTTTATTACTGCGCTGCTAATCAGACTGTTATATTTTTATCCGTCTGTAAGAAGCATTAAAGTGCCCCTCGAGGGCCTAGACGCTTGGCAGCGAGGGTCCTTATTGCATGCTGGGTAATTTGCACCTTGTCTTGATAGAGCTTGTTTGCATGTGTATACGTGTTATGTGTTTGGCATCTCGTGAAAGCGCATTTGTGTAGCCTGTCTGTCCACAGTAACCACAGCTCGGTCCTTTCATTTCGGCTCTTTTTAATGAAGTATTTAAATGTTAATGACTTCCAGTGCAAGAGCTATTGAAACTATTGCCAATGGTGTTTCTGGACGTGCATTGCAAATCTTATCTTTGTTATTCCACAAGCAATAACATTTTTTTCCCCCTCTGGTAGGCAAGTGGTTTTGGATATGCAATTTGCCAACCGTTTTTTATTCTGTGATCTAATGTACACTACCATTCAAAGGTCTCTCCATGCTCACCAAGACTGCATTTATTTGATCAAAAATACAGTAAATTTATGAAATATTATTACAATTTAAAGTATATATTTTCTATTTGAATATATTGTAAAATGTAATTTATTCCTGTGATGTAGAGATGAATTTTCAGCATCATTACTCCAGTCTTCAGTGTTACTTGATCTTTCAGAAATCAATCTAATATGCTAATTTGCTGCTTATGAAACATTTTTTATTATTATCAATGTTAAAAACAGTGGTGTATTCTTACCCTGTCGACATCAGTTCCACTAAAGATTTTTACATGTGAAGAATTTCACCCCACAACAACAGCAGCTGTATGCAGCATTAAAACACAGCAGTGAGTGAGAGGCCATAGATTACAGATCACAGCAAGGGGCGGTGGATGGTGTTTTCTGGGGGGCGGCAGTGCTGTTATTGCTCTGCACCAGTGGTGTGTGATTGCAGTGAAGACACCGAGGGCGGGCGTCTCCATTCTGATGGACAGCGGGGTCAGAGTGAGCTCAGCGGTCAAAGGGTAAAGGGCTGTGAGTTTGGCGCCGGTGGGGAGGTTATCTCTGATTCTACAAGGAGATAGTGATGATAACTATATAGACTACAAACGTGCTGTCACCACCTACAATGTTCCCCAAAAACTTGAAAACGCCTTAGGCTTTAAAATGGTACAATATCAGCATAAATACTCAACATTTTTGGTGTAAATGCATTAAAGTATTATTTTATATTATAGTTTCTTTTGAAGTTTATTATGGCTTCACTTATTATTATGGATTATGGACTCATATTTTTTCCAGAAGCAATAGTCTGAAGTCCTAATGATGGATTTGTTTCTTATAAACACACAGCTTTTCACTTCAGAAGACATTAATTGAAGGACTGGAGTTGCATGGATTCATCTGAAGTCTTTTTTTTCCCCAGCTGTTTGGACTCTCATTTTGACGGCACCCATTCACTGCAGAGGATCCAAGTGATGTTAATGATAAATCTCTCTAAATCTGTTCTGATGAAGAAACAAGCTCATCTACATCTTGGATGGCCTGAGGGTGAGTACCTTATCGAGTCATCCCTTATCGATGCATCACTAAAGACATCTCTAAAAAAAATGATAAACATTAATGCTGATATTATCTAAAACCCCACTTTGCCTAGGGCATTCCCAACTTTTGGAGGACACTGTACACATGCACACAGAATCTGAACATAATTTTGCACTGCACTCACGATTTACTGATACAAACCTCTACCGTGTTGCTTCCCGTTTTCTCATAAAAATCATCCCCTGCAAGCCACACAAATACACAAGACATCAAAAACAGGCATACTGTTGTGTATAACGCGTGTAAGTATTTGTGTGTGTACCTGAAGCAGAACTAGGTCCAGCGTGGATGTCTAGTTGTGTGCCGTTCTTGTTAGTTTGATTTCTCACAACCTGTTGTCTTTCTAGTTCCCCTGAGAACCACATACATAATTCACTTTAATGACGGCCACAACATTCCCCACAACCGTGGCATTCAAACCACTGAGGAATATAGAGAATTCATTATATTTCTAGCTAACCTTTAGCTGATTATAATGAGTTAAAATGGTAGAAATAATGTTTAAATTATTTATAGTGCTAATAAACAACTTAAAATGAGGAAAACATGTACTGTTCTATTATATACAGTATTCTTTTCCAATGATATTTAACTGAAAATGCTTTGCATGTTGCTATGTTTTTGCTAGGGTGTTCTTGATGGTTGCTAAGTGGTTTCTTACTGGACCAAGTCAAAAGTCTCGAGATTTTGCTAGTCTGTGGGTTAGACAAAACATGGATGTCCAGAAACCAAGAGATTTTTTTTATTCAATTTATAATTTTTAATAAATGTGACTATCAATATCCTAAAGCGTTTGAACAGGAGTAATTGAGCTCACAGTTACAGGCAAAGACACTCACAGTCAATCCGTATTTGTTCCATCTCTGCCACCTCTGCGATGCTCTCTCTCAGGTCCTCTACAAACTTGAGCAGCTCCTCGGCGCTCTGAGAACAGAAACTCACCACCTGCTTCTTCTCTGACGAGAACGGAGACAATATCGTGATTCCATGAGGGTAATCTGTGACAGAAAACACACACTATATGCATGACAATGCAAACACTGAGATCTGCTCTGTAAGGTTCTGCTTTTTATTATTTAAAAAATTGATTCTCAAAAAATTGATTTTGTTGAAATGCATTATATTGCAATTACCTTTAAAGATAATAATGATTTTCTTTTTGATTGCATAATAATGGCAGCATATGCACTTCACAGTCAGACATTTCTTTTTTGAAGATTATTGCAAAATAATAATCTATTCACTTATTATTATTCACTGATTGATTGACAGAGAAACAGACGAATCAGAACAGTTTGGAGATGCTATATAAATAGCTTTAATATTTTTCTTTGCTTTGAATTTGAATTTTTGCTTTTGATTTATGCTGATATTATCAAAAACCACACTTTGCCTTTTGGAAGGCATTATGGATATTATTATTAAATATTCTTATTTTTATATTTTAAAAAAGAAACATGTATACATCTAAACTTGGGTTTAAAAACTAACAAATTGAAAAATATTCATATTTTAATATTGGACTTATATCTGGTTGCTTCTGAAGAGTGTAAGGTGAAATGTTTATTTATTAGTAATATTATTTATTTATGATTATTAACATGCAATTTAACAGATTACCCACATTTAGACATTTTTAAATACATTTTTAGTTTTAGTTTTTTTTTTTTACTTGTCAGTCCATGGACCCCCTGTAGTAATTTCACAGTCATGCAGTTGAAAACTTTTAACTTTAACTATACTACATTCTATACCATATTTATCAATATAGTAAAATATAAATATATATATTTTTGTGTTTGTATTCTTACACTCATTCTCAAACAGATGAAACTGCATTCCCAGTAAGCCCATGGCCTTGCAGAACGTGTATGTGGCAGCACTCTTCTTCTTAGGGCATAGTTTGAGGATCTAACGTCACAAAACAAAAATCATTTTTTATTTTCAGTTGTTTGGGTGTACCCGTTTGAATATGTTTTCATGTATGAACACGTGTGTCTCTCACCACTATCAGGTCATTGAAGAGGAACACCTCCCTCTGATGTGAGGCCTGTTTCTGAGGTTTATTCACATCGGTGACCTCATAGAGTCGACTGCAGCACACCAGCCTACGGTGAGGAACCGACAGTATCTGAGGAAGAAAGAAAGAGATCAACTATCGGGTGAATTCAATTCAGAGGGTGCAGTTTCCATCAGCACAGGAAATGAAAAGAGGGATGTCTGGTGCAGTATGGGCTGAAGAATGAAATTAATATTTCATATGGAGGTAGAATGTTTTGCAGCGCTGTCATGTGAAATCTGAAATTATAGCACCGAACTAGCAGTTTTAGTCTCAAGTCTCCTGCTTTTATAGCTCACGCACTGATAAATTCATTCACACAGCTGTTAGCATAGAATAGAGAGGTGGGAAAAATTAATGACCAGAAACTAATGTGAATTTCACTTGTTTTTGCTTTGAGCAAAGTTTATTTTTACCTCATCATGTTACTCAAACTTGAGACTGGCAAAAGTTTTTGAAGTTGAAACTTATTTTAAGTTTTAGACTTGCATATGAAACTTATAATATATACTAATAATATAATATAATATTAAATATTGTTTACCTTCTGTGAATTATTATATGAATTATCATTCTGTTGAATAGAACAATAGGATTCTCGAATTATTTTCAGAATAATTTACAAAATATAGAATTTAGAATGTTTTTTAGTGAATCAAAGCATACAGCACAGTGTTTTCTGAATCTGGAACAAATGAATCCTATGAGCTGGGTTTTTTTGTTTTTTTTTGTTTTTTAGTGAATCAAAAACATACAGCGCAACCACTGTTGTCTGATTCTGGAACAAATTATTCTTTTGAGCTGTTTTAGTGAATCAAAAACATTCATAGTAACCAGTATGGTCCAATTCACAAACAAATGACTCTTATAAGCCGGCACGTTTTAGTGAATCAAAAGCATACAGCACAACCAGTGTAGTCTGATTGTTGAATGAATTATTCTTATGAGCCGGTTCTTTTTAGTGAATCAAAAACATACAATATAGCATAACCAGTAATCTGACTCTTGAACTCCAGATCTTTTTAGTGAATCATAATGCAACCAACCAGTGTAGTCTGATTCATGAACTAATGAATCTATTTTAGTGAATCAAACACATACAGCTTACAACTAGCTGTGAGATTTAAATCAGTGACTGTTTGTTCATATGACAACATGTGGTTAAAAATGTTAAAGATGCACAAGACACATTTTGTCAACAGTATTTTATAAATAATGAATGAAATATGTATACCTTTTTCAAAAACTGTTTTATATTTAAACAACATAAATCCATCTCATCTTTTGACAATGTAATTGCACTTTCTAAATATTAATTCCTTAAAAATGAAGAAACCTGAATCAGAAAGGAGAATCTCTTGTCATTTGTGTAGCACAAACGGTTCAGGTTAAGTTCAATACATAGTGTTAGAGGTTGTTGAAATCATTACACTAGTATGAGTGATAGTCATAGACCCAATAATAAATGTAATGTTGAGAAGCCAGTTGTTCGGTCAGACATCTCACGGTCTCTAATCACCTTTTCAAAGCGCAAACTGAACCGAAAGGTGATGCACTTTTCACATTTACATGACCTTTGTGTATAATTGGTAGAGAAGTGACTCACTGTCTTCATTCCTAGAATGCTTTGCTCCACTCTGGTAACGTAAGTCACATGATCCTCGTTGGAGCGCAGCTCCCTCTGCTGAATCCGTTCGTAAATCCCGGCTAGCATTTCTCGTGGAATATCTGCGCCATCATCCACTCCTGAAGGTGAATTTAGTTATTTATGAACTTAAACTATATTCTTGCATTAGTTTTTAAAATGTTATAAGTTTGGAAAACTGTACAGTGTTCTGGATTGCCTATTCTGTAATAGGAATGCATCTCTTGTTAACAAGGACCAAAATGTATGGAGAAGCTGTGGAAAGCCACAGAATAAGTTTTTTTTTTTTTTAAGTAATTTTTTATCACAGAATTCTGATATTTTTCCTCACAACTGTGACTTCTATCTCATAATTCAGACTTCTTTCTCCTCCGAGTTATTAATTACAAAATGTAAAATCAGAAATTTTTTCTCAGAATTGCAAGTTCATATATTGCAAATGCAAGTTGTTGGAAACTGGTCATTCTGCCCTTTTTTCTCAGAATTGCAAAATTATATCTCAGCATTGTGAGTTGTTAATTGCAAAATGTAAACTCAGAATTCTAAAAAAGTCAGAACTATAAACTCACAATTCTGACTTTTTTAATCAGAATTACGAGTTTACATCTCACATTTGCGAGTTATTAACTGCGAAGCGTAAACAGAATTATTTGATAAAAAAGTCAGAATTATAAACTTAATTCTACAATTTTTCCTCAGAATCACGAGTTAATCTCTTACAATTGCGAGTTATTAATTGTGAAACTGAGAAAAAAGTCAGATTTATACATTTGCAATTCAGACATTTTTTCTCAGAATTGCGAGTTTATATCTTGCAAATGTGAGTTATAAACTGGTAATTCTGAATTTTTTCTCCTCAGAATTGTGAATTTATATCTCAGCATTGTGAGTTATTAATTGCAAAATGTAAACTCATAATTCTCATAAAAAAGTCAGAACTATAAACTCAATTCTGGCTTTTTTTTTATCAGAATTCCGAGTTTACATCCCGCATTTTCAAGTTATTAATTGCAAAACGTAAACTTAGGATTCCTTGAAAAAAATTCAGAATTATAAACTAAATTCTACATTTTTTCTCAGAATCGCAAGTGAATCTCTTACAGTTGCAAGTTATTAATTGTGAAATTCTGATAAAAAAAGTCAGATTTATAAACTCGCAATTCAGACTGTTTATATATTGCAATTGTGAGGTATTAATTGCGAAATTTAAATTCAGAGTTCTGAGAAAAAAAGTCAGAATTAAAAACTTTAGGAGTTTATTACGGACAATTGTGAGATATCAACTCACAGAAAAGAGTCTGAATTGTGAGGTAAAAAGTAACAATTACCTTATTGTTTATATTTTTATTCCATGGCGGAAATAAGCTCACATAAAAAGCAGAAGTGCCACTGTGTACTTTTTCTAAAGTGAGGATTTATTTGGCTTATGGAAAAATCCCATCATTAGCTCGACTAATAGCATGCTCTGATTTTGTTCCAGTCCCCATGTCTTTATATCTCACTTTAAAGTGCGGCTCTCTTATACTGTATGTGTTTGTTATATCTGAGGAAAGTAGGCAACAGATCAAAAACTATTTGATCAGAGACCAGGAATCCATCCAAGACACACACTGCCTACGCTCCTAGGAGATAATCAAAATGTCTCTTTTGATATGAAAACAAAAATGCAAATTTAAACATGAAGATGGAAAGCCGATTAAAATTGGCAAGATTTAAAATCAAATATCCGATCTCTGACCTCAAAACAGCAACAGGCTCCGGTTTGAATTAACACACATACTGTAAACACACCTCGTAGGTTGCGTATGAAGTCTTCCAGAAGCATCTTGCGCTCTGGTTTGATGTTGGGACTGTACATGTCTGTGTTCAGCAGAACGATGGCGAAGGCCAGGATGAAGATGGTGTCAGGGTTATGAAACTGCTGCACCACGTCAGGGTTACACATACAGTACCTCTGACTGAAAGGAAAAACATTCATGCGCATTATAGTCAATGCTCTGCACCCAATGGATAAAATTACCATAGTCTGCAAAAATTACATGTGTGTCTAGGAAATGACTCTTCATTTCCAGCACTGGTGTGTGTGTGATTCTCACCTGAATGCTTCAATGAGTCTCTCGACTTTTTGAGCTTCTCCTTGCACTCGCACATGAGCCTGAAACTTCCTCAAAGCTTCATCCAGCTCCAGCATGGAGAAATCCATCTCATCCACCACACAGCTGAGAGAGAGACCACATAAAACTCATAAATGTGCTCTGTTTAAATTAAGAGCCCAATTTATGGGGCTCCAGCACTGTAAGAAATGAAAATGTGCCGTTAATGCCTTCAGTTGTTGGTTTTTAAATTATAACCCCCATATGGTTATATTCATGCATTGCTTAATATAAGCTATTGCAGTTAGGTTAATTCAGTCATATTAACTCTAATCTTAATGTTTCCCATTTAAAACAAAGGTATCATTTTAGAGTTTGTTAATTAACTGCAGTTTAATCATATTTATGACAATATTTTCTAATTTAGATTTATTGGCAATGACAATTCTGACTTTCTTCACATAATCATAACAAAAAATGCATAGTCTTAATAATTCTTTACATACTTTTGTGTAAATGGCATATTTGTACATACATTTTTTATATTCTGTGAAATGTATATACATTTGTCTATTGTGTTTATAATGTGTATATTTATTTCATTTTATTATTAAAAAAAATTGAATTAAAGAGAACTAAAGAGTTTATTTATTATTATTTGTTATAAATGCAATAAAAAATTAACCACATTAAAATATTTTTTATGTATTTTATATTTATTTAATTAAACTATACTACATTTTTTCAACTATAGAAATTTAGTGAAATATACATATATTTAACTATATTTTGTATGTTTTCGGTTATGTTCATACATCATTTGTCTACTGTGTTTACATTGTGTATATTTATTTATGTTTTCGTTATTTTTCCAGTGCATTGGAAGCTTCAAACATACTGTAACTATACTGTAATCTTACCTGGCAATAACTCATTCTGATTGTATAGTGAGCAGTTTTTAATTCAGTTAATATTGATTCATTTTTCAGGGCTTATTATAAATGTTTTATATGATTTAGGACTACATTTTTGCCTCAGAGGATATGTAATTGTCTGCAAAATGACTGTGATACAGAGAAAACTATGGTGCATAAAAGTTTCTGAAGACACAACTCACTCCAACACATCTCTGTTGAACTGCCTCTTGCTGTTACCCAGGAACTCTCCAATCATCTGTCGACTCAAACCCTTCCTCTGCAGCAGGAAGTGAGCCACACCAATTGCTGTGTCCGGAATAAAGCCCCTGGAGATCAGGAACTGGATGCCTTTGTCTGGATTGCTGCAGGAAGATCAAGAAGGATGTAGGTGAGACAACTGATTTTCTCTTTCTCAAGAGGCTAGAGCTAACACAACACTTTATAATAATGTTCATTAGGAAAATTAGCTAACATTATGTAATGATATAATGTACTGAAAGTACATTTAATGTTTTCATGTGCAAGTGTTTGAAAGACATTTATGTAGTTAGTAATATTTCACAATATTGCTGTTTTTACTGTTTGGATCGTATTTCATAAACATAAAAATCTTAAAGATTTCAAACTTTGACCGATAGCATATACAAACTAAGCATTATTTAATGCTTTTTTTTAAGAAACCATTTAACAAATTTCTGCTGTTTTCTGTCCAAATTGAGAGCAGAAAATACAAAAAAAAAAACTATTTGCATTCAGTCTGAGCTTGTGAAAGTTATTATAAATTGTTTCCAGAAAAAAAAACAGGAGGACTGCATGCATGTGCGCAGGTTTACATACTGTATGTACTGTATTTGTGTGTTAAGAGATATTCTTAGCTAGAAGCATACAGTATTTAAATGCAGATTATTCTTTCCACGTCAGTAAACATCTTGCTGACATTCTGTTCCACAGACGCACTCGTCCATATGTGCATCACAACATCTATATAAGCAGGCAATAACAGCAGGACTGAGCAGCTTATATTTATGTTCACTAGCCTACTCTTTAAAAGCCTGGGGTCAGTACGATTTTTAATAAATGAATACTTTTATTCAGCAAGGATGCATTAAATTGATCAAAAGTGACAGTAATTACATTTATAATAATCAAATACATTTTCTACTTTATTCACTAAAGAATCCTGACCAAAAAAAAATTATCATTTTTTTCATATTATAATAAAAATTCTCAACTTTTGAGCAGCACAACTATTTTCAACATTGATAATAATAAGAAATGTTTCTTAAGCAGCACATCAGTATTTTAGAATGATTTCTGAAGGATCATGTGACACGAAGACCGGAGTATTGATGCTGAAAATTCAGCTTTGCATCACAGGAATAAATTACATTTTAAAATATATTACAATAGAATACAGTTGTTTTAAATTATAATATTATTTCACATAATTTTTTTCCCCTCATTGTAAGTGGATTTATAGGGGGAAAAAAAAAAAAAAAAAAGTTCAATATGTCATAATGGATTCCAGTGAAAGTTTCGGTTTCTGGAGATTATCATTTATAATAATATTGATATTTCTTTCTCTGTATTTGTCTGTTCCTAGCTTTCTTTAGTATTGGACTTCGAGATGACATCACCGAGTCGTGCATTATTTCCACCACACTGAACGTCTTCACAGGTCACATCCGACATTATACCGGCGAGCAAGCACACACACACACACACACACACACACACACACACACACACACACACACACAGCACTCTAAACAAGCTACACGCCACTTACTCATTGTGAGCAAATAGCTGAAAAAAAACTAAATTCCCACATACATCCTCAAAGAAACCTTAAAAAAAACAACAGTGTCGCTTAGTCACAGTCTGAGTAAAACCGTGTGTGAGTGTGTGTGGATCACCTGGTTGCCATGGCAACAGTGGTGATACTCACGTCAAGCATGTCAAAGTAAATCTGATCTGAGATTTCAATTGAGTGCTGATGCAGTCTGAATCCTCTGAGGATTGGCTTTATTCTGCTTGTGTGTGTGTGTGTGTGTGTGTCTGAAAGAGCTAAACACACAAAATGGAGCAGAGAAAGAGCCTCACAATCACCCCTGAGGGAGTATAATATAGTCTTTTTGAGTATGTATACATGAGCAAGCGTGTGTGTTTTTGTCAGTGTGTATATACTGTATAACAGCAAGTATAATGAAAATGCACTCAACTCTTTAGTCATGGTCAAACTAACCCCGCAAACAAAAGCGCTTTTCTTTAGGGTTAGTAATTTAAACAATTCTATAATATGTTTATTTGTAAGGCCTAAAAACCTTTAAACTACAAACTTCTTTCAGAACTTTCAAACAAGTTTTTGACAAGCCAAATTTAAAGTTTACTTTGACAAACTTTGCATTTCCAGTTAAATATGACAGTTATATGAATTTCTTCTAATTGAATACTACTTCTTTATATTCACATTGCAATTCTGCACCCTGATATTCATATTCAGAAATTGAATTAGGATTTAAAAGATAAGACACAGACAGACTAACTCAAACCGATATTTTAAAGAGAAAATATCCCTTTATGCAGCAGTTTTCCTCATTAAGATTGTAAAATTTGTAATATTTTTGTAACTAAAACTATTGTTGTTTTTTTCTTCAGTAACTTAAAATAAATATTACTTGAAAAACTTAAACTTACAAAAACTTAAAACTTACAAATGACAAATGTTGCCTTGGCAACTAAATTAATTTTACAGTACTAAAATTATAAATACATCAATTAAAGCTATATAGAAAGAAAAAAAAAACTGAACAAAATGTCAAAGCAACAACAAAAGTTACTAAAAATTAAACTAAAATTGAAAATGAAAATTACTGAAGACTAAAATTACTAAAACTGAAATCAAAATAAAACTATATAGAAATACAGAAAAAACTAAATGTCTAAAAGGGAAACTAAAATTAAAATGAAAACTAAACTTGTATACAAATACTATAATAGCACTAGATTAGTAGGTTTTATCTGCACAATCTGACACTATTTCCCTGTTTAATACTGTAAAGCTGCTTTAACAATCTGCATTATAAAAAGCGCTATGTAAATAATGATCACTTGACTGTCTTTGTGGGACATCTGAGACTTTCAAACATGGCAAAACCTGTAACACACTAAAAAAAAAAGCCACTGTAAATGAAAACATTTGACTTTTAACCTTTGTACTCACACATTGAAGAGGTTGAGTCCAATGCGGTAAAGGCGTTTGCGTGCAATATCCGTGGAGAGCGTGCCGCAGGGCGTGTCCTGACAATGTGGGCGGGGCAGAGACAGAGTCATCGTCTCACACGCTGATGTGGAGGTGCTGCTGCTACTGACGGGCTCCGAGCTGTTTTCCGCTGTCTCTGATGCAATCTGATTGGTCTGTTTCTCCTCCGGTCCCGCCCCTGCTGTCGGTTCGTCTGTTCCGGTTGGCTGTTGGTTCTCCTTCTCTTCCTCACTGGGTGGCGGAGCTGGAAACTCAGGCTCTGCCGTAGCTGTTGATGCCGACTGGCCTGCTTTCTGTCCCCGCATTTGGGGTTCCAAGCTGGTCTCCTTGGCTACGCCGTTACCAAGAGAAACTGACTCCAGCATTGAGGAGGAGAGGCGAAAGTTGTGGTTGTCAATTTGAACAGTCACATCCCTGAAAGCCATCATGAGTTTACTGGCGCTGCGGGGTATGTTCTCCCCACAGCCGCTCTGCGTGGCATCCTGTGGGGCAGCGGGGTCCACCAGGAGCCCCTCGGGATGGGATCCAGAGGGAGGGGCCGCAGTGGACTTCTCTCCTTCCCCGTCTCGAACAGAACTCCAGCTGCTCAAAGCCTCGTCAATAGACCGCGCTAATGACTGAACCTGGCAGGGAGAATAGAATAACAAGTGTGAATAAAACAGAAAAGACTAGAACATATTTTAATAGTACAGGTTAGAATAGAACAGAAGAGAAGAGAACAGAACAACATATTTGAATTGAATAGAATACAATGAAAACAGAATAAACCACCATATTTGAATAGAACAGAATGGAATACAATAGAACAGAATACAACATATTTAAACTGAATAGAATATAATCAATGTAATACAACTGAACAGCATACAACAAAAAAAGAACATTTAAATTGGATAGAACCAAATAAAGCGGAAGCGAATACAACAGAAAAGAAACACATATTTAAGCTGAACAGAAGACAACCAAATAGAATAAATCCAAATATGACTGAACAGAACAACATATTTGAATAGAACTGAATAGAATGAATACAATAGAAAAAGATATCTGAATAGAAAAAAAAAAAACAATGTAACCAAATACAACAGAAGAGCAAGATATTCGAATAGAATATAACAGAATATAACATTTGAATTGAATAGAACCAAATATAACAGAATAGAATAGAACAAAATACAACAGAACAGAATCCAACAGAAAATAACATTTAAACTGAATAGAAACAAATAAAATAGAGCAGAACAAGATATTTGAATAGAATAGAACAAACTACAGAGTATAAGAACATATTTGAACCTAATTGAATAGAACCAAATATAACAGAATACAACACTTTTGAATAGAATAGAACAAAATACAACAGAAGAGATCAACATATTTAAACTGAATAAAAAAAGAACCAAATAGAATGGAATACAATAGAACAGAACAACATGTTTGAATAGAACAGAATAGAATAGAACAGCATATCTGAACTGAATAGAACAGAATAAAATGAAATAGAACAGAACACAACAGAAAATAACAACATTTGAATAGACTAGAATGGAATACAATAGCAAAAAAAAACAACATATCTGAATAGAATAGTACAGAACAACATATTGGAGTAGAATGAAACAGAACAAATCAAAAAGGCAGAACAGAACCAAATGCAATAGAATCAAACAAAAAAATAGCATGAATAGAACAGCATTGTTTGTGTGCTTGAACTCATGAAAGACTGTAATAGAAATATGCTGAATAGATATCACATGTTGATGGTGTACTTGTACCTGTTCAGTGAATGTGTCCTCCAGGTGTGTGAGTGTGGTTGTAGTGGCCACCGGCAGTGAGGTGGAGTGTGTGAGTGGGATGCCCATGAGTGAACATCCCTCCATCAGCGCCCGTTCAGCAGAAAACCTGTCCCTCTGTACCCGGACCCTGCGCACAGACATGCGCCGCGGGATCCCACTCTCCAGAACCGAGTTCCGGATCTTCTGGAAGTTCTTACTGAGCTGGTACTGACGAAACGCCGTCTGGATCTTACAGGCCGCTCGCCGGGAAATCAGAGGACCACCGTACTTCTGCTCCAGTTCCTCTATCTGCAGATAAATAGATAGATACAAAATTAACTTATCGTTTCATGCTCTTCATATCAAAGGATCATTTTGTACAGATGCAACACAAGTGAGCAGTGGCTGACCCAGATTCACCGTCTTTTAATCTAGACTGATCAGAACCCACTGCGCACTCAGGACTAATTAACTCTGCTTAATTACTACATGCAGGCTTTCACAGATTTCAGATTCAACGCAGCCTTCATGGAAAATGAGGTAATCAAGCGAAGGTTTCAGTTCATCTTTCCAAATCATCAATTAATTGTCAGAATCTGCTCATTGAATGAGACAACAAAAATTGAATTAAATTAAAATAAAATACCATTATTCATTTTGGCTTTTTAAACTATTCATTGAATCAATAAGACAAAAATGAAATTGTTCAAATTTTAAATTAAATTGTTTGTGTGTTTGTATGTACTGTATACACATACACATTTGTATATAAACATTTTATATATACATATATATAAATTAAATCATATCATATTTAAATCAATGAATCATATATAATTTTTTCTATCATTTTATCTTATATAATTTTTTATATAATTAGTATATACAAGTCATTAAATTGTTAATATGTATACTATATATATATATATATATAAGTGTGTGTATACACTAAATCATTCAAATTAAATGATTTATATATAATATATATAATATAATTTAAAATATGAATTTGTATATATATATATATATATATATATATAGTAAGATAGATACTCATATATATATAAATTATATTAAAAACACGCTTCTGCAAAACTAGTTAAAATTAAATTATTTATTAAATAAAAAATATTTGGTTACTCAAATAGTAAATTCAATTAGTACATTTCAATGGATAGGTTCTGTATAAATTCCAAAAACCAAAGACTAAATCAAACCAAATTTCCGAGGTTAGCACCCCACACAATCTTACGTAACCCCATGCATGACAAAGCCATTTTCCTCTTATGTTGAGCTCATGAAAAAGCATTTCTGAGTGGAAAGCAGATGTTTAAATCATGAGAGATGTCACAAAGTACGTTCCTTCTGCTTAACAACACGGCTCAACCCCATTTCCATTTTCTCCAGGTTCTCTCTCAGTGTAGACACGGGTTTACAACACACACAAGCACACTGCTGACTGCATTCACTGTCAGCATATTAGCTGCTACCCTGGAGTAAAGGCCACTTAAGCTCTGTAAGCACTCATACACGAGGAGCAGAGAGCAGGGTTTTCCATCTTTCATGCGCCAAGTACTGCTCGCCTCTGAGGAACGACAACAAATGCAGCAGAACCTTAAAAGAGAGTGAAAACAGACGCTGGTGCACACGGTCACTACAGATCATTAGGTCGCTGCGCGATTGATCTGAGAACCCAAACTGAAATGTGATATCACTCTTTATGTGAGAGAGCATGTGATGCTAGTAGCAGGGTTTGATGTCATTTCCTATGTTATGACTCAATAAATATGCTCTCTCTCTCTCTCTCAAGCTGTTTAAAAACAGATTGTGAATGACGACAGGTGACGACAGGTGCAAATAAAAGGTGAGAAACTACTTATGTTTTTCTCTCCCACCAACCCCCTTTCCTGATCATTTGGGAAATAACTGGCACACAATCACGATAGGCTTTTGCAAAAATTAAACTGCTCTCTCCTGTTCATCGATAAAATTGGCATCAATAAAACTTCATTAGTGGTGCTTACGATTAGTGATTTAAACAAACATCTAACCCTGAGCATTAAACTTCAGTTCACCACTGAGGCAACACCATTGGAGCTATGGATATCACTACTCACCACCCATAACACCCTAGTGACCATCAGAACACCCTAGCAACCGCAACGGCATAGAAAAATGCTAACAAAAAAAAAGTTTTGCACAGCCAAGCTCCACTTACATTTTTTCTACACTGTAAATCTTGTCATTTCTAGTGAAAAATACTGTAAAAATGTTACAGTAAAAATATTTACTTAATTGTAACAATGTATGAAAAATGGTAGTTTAACATGGCATTGTGTCATTTTTTTTAATGTTTTTTTGCATGTAATGAAATTTCAACAAAAAAATACTATAAAATTCTACAGTAATTTTTTTTCTATAACTATATACTGTGAAAATGTGTAACATTCCATTATATGTAATTCAATACCGTGTAATTCTGTAAAATGTATGTTTTTTGTAAGTAAAAACAACAAATTACCATATAATTATGGTGGAAAAATAGTAGGACATTCCTAGAAGACCCTACGTGACACATCACATAGAACTATAATTAATTTTGGTTCTTATTTTTATTTTTATTTTTTAGTTCATTGCTTTTTTTTTAGTTTTGTGTTTTTGTCAAGTGGCTTTCTATTGAACCACCTGTATTATTTATAGGTAAAATGCATATTTCAGTAGTTTAAGTAGCTTGGTGTATTAACATTCCATCACTTAATTAAATATATGTTCTAAGTTTTAAATTATACAGGCATCCTGTAATACAGGAAACACTGTCACTGTATTTTTACAGTGAATTTCTGGCAACCACAGCAGACAGTTTTTTTTTTACTGTCAATTTAACCAAATATTTTTTACATTGCATTACAGGTGAGAAACAAAATGCACTCCTGAGGATCTTCCTTTTCTTTTTTGCCCTTTTTCAACCATTCAGGACATATTAGAATAGATTTTCTGCAGAAATAAAGCTCCTCTTTAATGTTTACCACAAAAATTGGAAAATATGATTCAGAGCTTTTTGTGAGGGTCACAAAATAATGAGCACTTTCCACTTTATCAGTTTTCTGCAAAGATGAGGTCATGATTTCTTCAAATTTGGACACAAAAGTATAGATTTTCTGTTGTTTAGAACTGACTTTGTTCACAGTTATCATGTGCTGTTTAATTAAGAAGAGCTTTTAAGACTTGATTTTGTTGGCAACATAAAATATGCAGTCAACAAAGCTCAAATGGTTTGAAGTTCCCAAAATAGTGCAGAACTGCCACACTCACACACACACACACACACACACACACACACACACACTCTCTCTTCACCTGAGTGACGGTGCTTATCCATACCCAGAGTTTTCCAGTCTATCAGACAGAGGACGGATGAGGGTTAAACTACACCTGCAGCATGCATTAACTCTCTTTCTCACAAACACACACACGCACACTTACACTCCACTAGCTTGAATCCCATCACCCAGAATGCCTCAGGCCAAGAGAACAGGGGCTGCAAACAGAAAACCACTACCATTCAAGGATGGAAAACTTAACCAATGCAGACAGCTGTGGTAAACAAGTAGATTCACACTCTCCTTACTGCATCACTTGCTCATATTGTACAATTTGTTTGTTTGGCATGTAGAAAGACACTCTTTTCTGATTGGCTCATTGCATAAGGTGTCATCCTCACCTGGAGCAGGTTAGGGAGTCTCCCTCTGGGGCCTCTGGTGCAGGACAGCAGAACTGGTGCAGGACGGTCTGGCTCCTGTAAAGGTTTAAATCCACATTACTGCAATTAAATGCAATGCAATACTATTTGCATGGTACTTCATTTGTGCTCTTTGAACATGTATAGAGATTGCTGTAGCTTAGTGTGGTGATTCTCAACTGGGTTTGCTTCTGAATCCAGACTATTGGGCACTCAGAAGTACACTCAAACAGTATTTAGGCATAAATTTAATATTTATGTATTTGCATATAAAACTTGCATTCATTTGGATAACGCACTTTCAGTATATACTAACTAATAAACTTAGCCACATCTGTCAGTCATACATAACTGAAACGGGTAAGATTTTTGCACTCAGAAAGATTTCTACAAACAAAACATACCTGCGGTTTTAGGTTTAAACCTACCAGTTAAGAACCACTAGCCTCTTAATAACTTCAATTAAGTCTTGGAGGAACAGTTCATCCTGGCTATAACAAAGCAATGGCTGCTCACAATTCTTTCAGAAATCCACAACTCCTTCCTGATTAAGTGAACATTTTAAACACTTCAGTCTCTAATTTAGGAGTCCAGGGAAATTCAAAGCTCAGGGTGAGTTTTCTTTGTTGACAGCACATCAAATATGTTTGCTTCACACTCCAGCATAACATGAGAACGTGAAGTGCTATTAATATAATCTATTATTTGCATATCACTTCCTTGCAGTCCTGCTATTGTGATTATGTAATATTCATTATTAACATAATATTCTGTTTTGTATGTAAAATTCCCAGCAACTTTCTTGCCTAAAATGGTGCATCACTACATTTTTGTGATCTTCTTTTATGTTCGACAGAAGAATGCCAGTTTGGAACGACATGAGGGTGTCGACATAAGATGCTTTTTTAACTTTAAATAGTCACTTCTGACCAAAATACCAGCCCTTAATCCACAGTTACGCTTCCTCCAGTTAAAAAGTCCATCCCCTGTTGTCCTCTCACATCAAAATCCAATTTGGGTTGTTTTCGCTTGAAATCTGTGCATATTTCTCTTCTGATTCAGACGTTTTTCACTGGAGAAAACAAAATTATGGATAGAGGACAAATATTTTGTCCAGAAGTAATGGTTTAAAGTTAAAATGTCTTAATAATGAATTTGAGTGGTGTGGATTACTTTGGGATTATTGTGATGTTTTATCAACTTTTTGGATTCTCGTTCTGACGGCACCCATTCACTTCAGAGGATTCATTAGTGAGCAAGAGATGTAATTCTAAATATCTCCAAATGTTCTCATCTACATCTTGGATGGCCTGAGGGTGAGTAAATTTTCAGCATATGTTCATTTTTTAGTGAACTATTAAAGTGTCTATTGCAAACACTGTCTCATTTGCTAATAAAGATGCAACAGTCAAAATATACCTGTCATAATCAGACACGTTGATGATAGTGATGTGAGATTAACTTTAATGAGCTGCGTGCATGAGCATAATTGGGCCCTAAAACTCATTGGTAATGAGCATCTCACACTTACAACTAAATGTATTCTGTCATATAAGAAAGAAACACACAAGGTGCTCTCTGACTCAGGACTAAGTGTTTGTCCCCTAAAGGATAAGGTAATGCTACCATTAAACAAATCAGAGTGGAATGTATCATTCCAGTTTTGCTTGTGGGGTTCACACACACACATAAACACACACAGAGGGAGTACTCTACAAATGCAGCATGAGATGTGCACTGAAGCAGATGAGCAGTCGTAATAGACGACACACACACAGACACACACACACACTCTGAATCTCTCATTCTTTCTCTCTCTTACTGTGGATTAGATACCAGCTGGTGGATTAAGTTCACATGCACTATGGGAATGTCACTTAAAGCCTCACTTTACGTATAAATCTGCGGGTGTGTGTGTGTGTGTGT